ACAAATGGCCTCTATTAGCTGTGCTGAGTCACGCAGAGCAGCCAAATGAAAGTGCTGGTGAACGGAGGACTCAAAAACTCCCCCCCCCAGCTCAGGCCTGCATGCCCCAAGTACCCGGTTTTCTCCATCTAACTCTCTTACACTGTCTACTTCTATTACTCAGTTTAAAACAGAACCCCATTCCTGTGCTAAACTCTCTTTTAGTCTGTTTTCATCCATCTTTTTTTGTTTTGTTTCTCCTCTTCTCCTGCTCCCTTTTTCAATCCATCACTCTCCCAATCTCCATCCTTTAGCCAGTGTTGTAGCATTCGCCTCTTTCTCACTTTCTCCCGAGAGACAGGAGTCTAAAGACTAGATAACTGATGTACAGAATCATTACTTTGGCTGCTCAGGCATGAGGATGAATGAAGCCCCCTCCGCTCAGTGTCTCATTAGAGTCTACACGTAAAACGCATCGGGCTTTATTCAGTCATCTCTCCAGATGCGTATCAAGCATGGCGAAATCAAATGCGTGCCCACACGCCACGTCTGCATATCAAAAACAAAGCTCAAAAATGCATGAGAATAATGACTATCAAAAATAGAATTCAGCAGCATAGTACGGAAATGCAGCGTCTCCTCCTACGTGCTTCTTTATAGCATCAAACGCGTTCCCTCTCCACCTACACTCATCACAACTTCAAACGCTCACGCTTCTCAACGATGTTTGCTTCTGGTGTTTACCTGCACAACGCGGGATCTTTTTCTTGACGATTTTAGATTCTGCTGAAAATGCACAGCTAGCAATTAAAGGCGTAGTTCCACCAAAAAGGAAAATTCTGTCATCACTTACTCGCCTTCATGTCGTTCCAAACCTTCATGACTTTCTTTCTTCATTGGAGCACAGAAAAACATTGGGATCCAAACAACCTTTAGACCCCATTGACTTTAAGTGTATGGACATTTTTCACAACATTCACAAGAAAGAAAGTCAGACAGGTTTAGAACAACAAGAAGGTGAGTAAATAATGACAGAATTTTCAGTTTGTGTTTGGATGTGATCTCAACAGCACTGGCTTCCCATACCGCTGTCTCAGTCTGTCATGTGAATATCTAACCAATTACCTGCAAGAAGCAGAAACTCTCTTTAAGTGACACCGATATTTGCACTGAAAATCTTGAGGTTCTGGTTCCGTTATCCTAAGACCCCAACTGAGAGCTCTCAGGACCTCATCTCAGCGTGGAGTGTAATGGTAAATCTTAAACGATGTGTGTAGGAGGGTAAGTGAGTGAAGAAATGGATGACAAAACCCCTTCTAGCCTGTGAATGGAAAGAAAAATCGCATGATTGGAAGAGCAGAGACGGCAGAGACATGCAGCAGGCTGGAGGAGGTGATAACGTGTGAAGAGAGGAAGTGGGTGGAGGTGAAGATGGATGAAGGGCCAAGATGGAGAACTTCCTATAATGATGAAAAACAAAACAATGCGATCATGTTAATGATCAAGGAGGGCAGACTACTGTAGGAAGAGAATATTTACGGAGCTTTAAAAAAAATAGTCATTTGTTTGGGAGGCACTCTCAGAAAAATAATGTACTTTTAGTTGTTGCTTGGTAGCTTTTAGTTTGTAACTGAGGCAGATCCTTTAACGGCTCCATGAAACCAAAATTGACAAATCTTATGTTTCAGTTAAATTATTTATCTGTACATATCATTGTTGGTCACACTTTAGATTAGGGTCCCATTAACACTATTAACTACGACTTTTGCCTCAAACTCCCAATTACTGCTTATTAATGGTTAGAAAGGTAGTTGTTAAGTTTAGGTATTGGGTAGGATTAAGGGATGCATTGATGTGTGCTTTATAAGTACTTATAAACAGACAATATCTTAATATGCATGCCAATAAGCAAGTTTATAGTGAGAATTGGACCCTAAACCAAAGTGTTACCTCATTATTTTTTAAATGCACGTGCCCTTGCAATCTTTAATCAAAAACATTAACGCATCTTCTCTGATGACGTGTTCACCGATGATCCCTCCATTTCAGGAACCGGTCACTCACATGAGATCGCAGCAAATAGCAAGCAATGATCCAATCAAGTCCCGCCCTACATTTTTTGTTTTGTTTGAGAAGCCGTTTCACTATGTCACAATAGGGGAGAAAAGACGACTGCAACTTCTGACTAAAGGGAAAGTTCGCCCAAAAATATCTTTTAGACTTTCTTTCTTCTGTGGAACTCAAAAGAAAATATTTTTAAAAAACTTTTGGGTCCAAAGTGACCTTCATTTTAAGGAGTCAAAATATCTGCTCAACAGAAGAAATAAATGCATACAGGTTTAGAACCTCATGAGGGTGAGTAAATGATGGCAGGATTTTTTATTTAAGGTGAACTTTAAGGGCACATATTTTCACTTTTTTAAGGGTGCTGCCCTAGTGACAAGGTACTACTGTTCCTGAAAGTGAAGGGAAAGGTCAAAAACAGCATATTAAGTTCTTGAAGCAAAGAGAGCTCCAAAGCGGACAGGCTCCAGCGTACTGCAGGGTATAGAGAGAACGGCACTGCTGCCAAAGGGAAATAGATTTTGAGAGACACTGACGCCAGTGCTTATGTTGTGGAGAGGGAGTGAACGAGTAACTAAACTCAGTCGTAACATGGAGCCAAGCAGGCCTGACGACCACACTATAGTGAATACGGGCCCTGCAGTGGGGGGATGGGTACAAAGGACCATATATTGCAAAAAGGAGACAGTTCCTAGAATCAGCCGGCACGACTCCCCATAGTTCACAAGTAACATGATTAACCACTGGACGGGGAGTACTCCAGCAGTGCTATTAATAAAAGATAACCTCCTACCCTCCCCAGATCCGCTTCTCAAAGCCACATTTTTGCTAGGCACATACAGAGGACAGCTTTGTTTACTACAACGGAGGGACTTCATCCCTGGGGCTTGGGTAAGCAGCTTCTTCCCTCGACTCCCAGGGTTGGGTGGGTAAATTAGCCACTGATGTGACCCTAAAGCCAAACAAGGTCCTCTGGGTTGGGGATCAATTAGACAAGCCTGTGAAATAATGACACCCCTGGGAAGATCTTCCTAGGGAGACCCCCTTTGGACCCTCTGGCTGAGGGCTTCAGGAATTGATCGTTCCGAACACACCACAGGTACAATACTTCAGCAGTTATTACCACACTGCAGGAGCAAGCGAGCGCACAAACAAGGCACAGTTGCGGCTGAACCTAACCGGAGACGTGAGTTGCTGCGTATGACACCAACTGGCAAAGAGAAGATAAGCATGCAGGAGATAATTATAGTTGGGCTGATGTTACTGCTAGAACACACCACAGTGAAATGCTATTGTGCGGACTGTCAACATAAATTAATATTTTATTGTGAAGCAATAGAACAGGAACAATCATGGCTACACGACCCCAATTAAGAGGTTACAGGACAGACCCTTTCAGTACAGATCCCATCCTTGCTCATAATGTTCTTTCATTGTCTTGACGGCTGCCATTTACTTTCACTTCTCGCACAATCATACTTAGACAAAAGACACAAGATAATAGGCTACTTGTCTCAGATAGTATACCAGGGAGTTTTTGTTGTGCACACAACACGATCTCTAAAGAAAACTAATTGGGGGAAATGTTTATAGAGCCTCACACACGCACGAGTAAACACACACACATTCTTTTTTTTTATCGTGGTGGGGTTCTTTCAATTGGCTCCTATTGTTTTCAAACTGAGCTAATAATATTTTATAAATCTCAAAGTTTCTTTTCATACATTTTCATTAAAAGATTATTTAGTATGTTAAATAATTAGGACCATTTGCTGGACCCCACAATGTAATTTTTTAGGCTTTTCTTTCCTTGAACATCTAGTCACCACAATGTAGGTAAAACCTGAACACACACACACACACACACACACACACACACACACACACACACACACACACAGAGAGAGAGAGAGAGAGAGAGAGAGAGAGAGATGGAACAAGTCTCAATGGATTTATTTATTTATTTTGATGACTAACAAAGTGATGGACTTGTAAGCGAGCTGGACCTCAAGACAGCTTCTACAGAACTCTACAGGGCTTTTAACCCTGGGTTAATGTCTTTTTCAACACTGTGTAAAGACCATTTTTTAACCCTGGGATAAGCACTTGTTCCACATTTGCCATTTTGGAAGGGGAGCTGCTTCACTTTTGTCCCTGGGTTATGCTAGCGCCGCTTTATCGACACAATACGACGCTACAACATAATGTCGAGTTGTTTAGCAACAGACACCAATCACAAACTGCCTCAGTGCATAACCTCATTAAATATTCATGCGCTTTGTACAGTCGCTGAAACTTTCACGCGCCGTGTTTAGTCTCCTCGTCTGAGGGGAAACGGTTAAAAATGTCAAACAGCGAGGGCAGACGCGTTAAATGGAGAGATGGAGATTAATTTTGCTCTATGGTGACTTCTCACACAGAAGAACAAGCAGTTATTAAACATGTCGCGTGCAATATTTGTAAGGCGTTATTCACCTTAAACATATTCAAGAACGTTAAGGTTTACAAATGCACAGCGTGAAATCTCAAAACTTGACTACCCAGAATTAACAACTAACACAGAAAGTGTGAACATTGTGAAATAGAATAAGATACGTCAATTTCAAGAGTAAAAAGCCCATTTCCATCTATCCCTCCCCCCGCCACCCCATCCTCAAAATAGGATCGCGTAAAAACCGCTAAGTAGCCTATACCATTTGCCTTCTGTTGCTATTTATCAAAATTCGCTTCGTGTAGAATACGGAACATTTCTAAATCAATACTTAACTTTCGTAGTAAAACAATTAATGCATTATTCCCTAACATATTTCATGTTAAATTTATATATGCATAAAATAGCCAGTACATCCAAGACTGTTGTTCATAGAATTCGATTTTATGATGGAAACGGAGGCAAATCAAATCAAGACATAGTGACAGGAATCAAATGGGAAACTGCTCTCGCGAGCGAAGCGTACCTTTGTGCATGCCAGTGAAGCGGTCTTTCAGGACGGTGAGCTCGTAGATCTTGCCAAATTCCTCGAAGAGCGGCCGGAGGTCCTTCTCGTCCAGGTTGCGGGGTATCTGTCCGATGAATAGTTTAATGGCATCGTGGTCCTTCATGGGAATGGTGGCGCAGCTCGCGGGACTGTGAGTGTGGCTTATTCCGTTCACGAGCCCGTTCGTACTGGCCGCTCCTCCATGCACCGCGGCGTCCACCTGTCCGTTCGTTAAAGTTGCCATGTTCACCGCGAGGACTTTCAGCTGCTACGCCTTCTGAAGTGTTTCAAATGACGGGATGAGACGTCCTACTGTGGTTTTCGCCGAAAATGTACAGATGCAAACACCTACCATTGAACACAAGTCAAATATCAAACGCGTTTGGTCGTCCAGGCGGAGGCGTGTTTCCTTGTATTTGTTCCTTACTACTCAATTCATTCATTCATGTAATAAAAACGAGAGAAAGAGAGAGAGAGAGCGAGAGAGAGAGACAGACCGTGAGCGTTCGCTTTACCTCCGTTCCCCTCGCCCCTGCTTCTAGCTACCCTTTTATTTTTTGCATTGAGAAGTCGGTATGGGTGTCCTCCCGGTTTAAACCGACAGGGCTGTCTCAAACGCGCTCAGTGCAGTGGGGAGGAAGAGGAGAAAAAGCAGCTCCCTTTATGTCACACGACGCTCTCTCTCCCCCTCTCATCGTTATATAGTAACATGGTATGTTCCGCCGAAGGAGAGGGACTATAAATAAAGAAAATATCACATTTACACGGCTCTTTGTACGCTGCCTTGTGAATGACGCACCTTCTGAATGACCAATATGTTTATATATTTTAAAAAAACGTGCATGCATTGGTTTTCCAACGCACTCCAATGCATAATGTTCCCCTATGTGCATTTTTCGGGAAAGCATCAAAGGATTCACCCAAATTCGCTGTAAAGCGCAGAGGGAGCTAATGGACAGCGACAGTGCTGAAACGCTCGGAAAGTGCAAGGACAAAAACAGCCTTATGCATGCGATGCAACCTTTGATAAATCCTTTGAATGTTGATATTATTATAGATATTATTAATAGTAGCACTTATTCGTAAAAAAAAATATTTCGCTGAATGAGAAGCAATGCCTCTTTTCAAATGCACGTGCCAGAAAGAGGGCTATGAGCTCCTCCGCGCGGTGTGTACGGGCAGGGAGGCGACACATGTGTGTGTGTGTTCAGGAATGGGGGTTATAAAAACACAAATCTGTATCATAGTTGTGGTTCTCAATGAGGAACCTTTAACCCATTCAGACCCAGTGTCCATTCCAATGAGCATGTTTTGTAAGATTTTGGCTCAATGCATTTTTAGATTGTGCTACATAACGTTTTTTTTTTGTCTTGCTCAAAAACCATATTTTGAAATAAGGTAGAAAAATATGGCATGATTTGAACAAGCATAATATCACACACACACATTGTGTTTTCACGTTATATGGGGACTTTCCATAGACAATGATGTTTATACTGTACAAACTGTATATTCTATCCCTTACACTAAACCTACCCATCACTGAATTTTTACATTTCAAGAAACATCACTTAGTATGATTTATAAGCTGTTTTCCTCATGGGGACCAAAAATGTCCCCACAAGGACAAGGATTTTGGATATTGCCATCTTTATGGGAACATTTTGTCCCCATAATGTAGGGTTTGCATGCCCTGGACATAATGGACATTACACACAGCAATTGAAATCTTATCATAAAACAATTTTTTTATTGATTCTCACTTATGGCTACATTTAGAGTAGAACTGAAGCATGGTCATATTTTTTGTGTCCCTGGAACATAATTCAAGAGCAACGGGTCAATAGCTGACATTGGAAATTCAAAGTACTCTTTAGAGAGATTATTTATAGTTAAATCTTTTCACTTAAACCTTACTTTCATTGGATTTCATCAGTTCAAAATGCTGTTGAGAATGACTAATACAGAGCATTTGCTTTGACAATAACCTCTCCTCTTTTACTAAAGCAAAAAAACAAAAAACAAAGTGTCTCTTCAATTTAAACATAAACCCATCAATGAGTCTAAAGAGATCTGCTGTTCTTTCTGATCAGGAAAAACACTTTGATATAATGAAGACTCCTTGGAGGTTTGAGTGATGTCTCCAAACATCTAACCTGAGCCATGAACACATCTAAAATCCCACTTATCCACGATATGAACCGCTGTTGACAGTCAAAGCGCGTATGCACAAGTGCAAACGTTGCATGCATGCCTCTAATTTCCACACCAGAGCACACAACCACAGCGTTTTTCATGCTGACAATGACACACCACTGTCGAGACCAAAGCACCTGCTCATAATGATGGGAAATTGTAGGCTGCCTCAGAGTTCCTGCTGAGCACGAGGCCCACGGAGAACAACAGGCGTACATGTGTTCGGCACCGGCACAACGGCAGGTAGGAGCGCTCAAGCGAACTCAAAATGGAGGAAAACAACAAGCCACTTTAGATGAGGCCTTCTGAAGGCACTGAAAAGCAGATCACGTAGCTGTTTAGAACAGTTGTTCTCAGTTGGTTTTGCTTCAGAACTCAGATTTAGCACATCAAGTGGCCATCCAACACAATACTAAACGTAACCTGACCCATGAAGAACCTTTAAAATTCATGGAACCTTTCCACTGCACAAACGGTTATTTGAAAGAAAAGACAAGGATCTTAAAAATGCGATTTTTCTAAGTGTGAAAAATCGTATAGTCTAAAGAATATTTTTCATTACATCGTTTTCTTTTTGTTTTGTTTTTGCGCAATTGAAAGATTTCATGGTTGTAAAAAGTTCTCCATCGAGCCATTCATGCTAATTATGCACAATCATATGATTATTGTATTTCATTATTTGCATTTAGCATTGTTTTTGACCATGGTCTATAATCACACAAACAGTCATGCAATCTATTTTTGGGTCATTGGTTGAGGAGTACACTTTTTCCATAAGGTTCTTCAGTGATCCTTTAAAAATGACCAAGAACCATTTTTCAGGTTGTTGAGTTGAAAATACGGATCTTGGGAGATAAACAAAAGTCTATAAGATCAGTGGTACGTATATGTTTTCTAAAAAAAAAAGGTAAAAAAAAAAAAAGGTATTCATTCGTGACAATAAAAACACATTAAAATGGAAAAAATTCTAAAATAAAAAAATATGTTAATATATATATATATATATATATAAAAAGAGAATAAAATCAGTTCTTTGAATATTAAAGGTTCTCCATGACACGTGATTGCAAAATCCTTTTTGGTTCTAATTGGAACATTAATTTTTAAGAGTTCATGATAACACAATAAATGCAATGAATTGCATCATGCTACGCTTCCTAGAAGAGCGACTTCTCTTAATTGCATTCTTCCAAATAAGTAATTTAGAGCTGAGAAGCACTGGTATCTACACTGCATCTCTTACAGTTCCATGTGCTCTTACCAAAGGTCAACTGGTCAAATATTAAAACACAGTATAACCTCGCATGTGCTTGGCCTTAACGATGCGATTTTAAATATTTGGATGCGGTCCAAAGCAGCATTAAAAAGGAAACAAAATACACTCCGTGGCCCTCTCACCTACCGCACTCAGAGGCTGTAATGGCCCGTTAATGTCATTTCGGACTGTCAGTATAACCCAGCCCAGCTGAGTCAGTCCGCTTTCTTTGGCAGGGCACCGCTCTCGGTTCTGCAAGCATACCCTTGGGGCCGCGCTGCCCGAGATCACGCCCGACTTGCCTTGAGCCATATTTTTAATACAAGGACGAAATGTGTTAGCACAAATCATTATAATTATGTTCTGTGCGTAGTATCGCAGCGATTATATAAGTTATGTTGCCATTACTGTTCCCTATAGTCTTTCTCTTCACCCCTCTCTCGACTCTTTTGCGGATGTGCCGCAAGCTGACCCAAATGAAAAGCATCTGATGAGCACGTCCATCGTCCTGATAATAATAATCATACGCAATTAACAGGTAATTTATGGAGCGATTGGTCTACAGAAGGTGCCCCGTAGTTCGCTGGGAGCGTGGTTTGATGCAGCTCAAATGAACCTGGAGAGGAACCGAAAAGCTCCAATCTAAATTTCAGCAGAGGAGTGGTCTCAAGAGGAGAGTGTCACATCTTCATCCTAAAATTTGATCTCAGCGGTATGTCTATGCGAATGAGCCTTACAATCAAATAACAATCATACTTTTTTTTTCTGTCAGGAAATAAATAAACCCAAATGTTATTTTCTTCGACTGCAGGCCTGCTGCTAAAAATAAGCACTGGCGTTCCACGCTTCTGGATGGCTGCTGGAACGACATTGAGCCGCTGTCCGTGGTGCTGAAACAAAATCACCAAGTTCACAGATAGTCAAAACGGAAAGGTTTCATCATTATATATAGACTAATCCTCTCTAAAAACAGGTTTACTTGAGAGCTACTTCTATAATATTAGACTGAAACTAACAAAAAAGCCTTTTAACACCTCTCAGTTTTTGAGAATAGAGTGCACTGAAATAACTTGTGCCCTTGGAACATTACTTTGAATCAAACCCTGTTCGGCGGGTTTAATTGTTGAGGAAGGCAAATAAACGAGTGGCAAATGAAATTCTTGCGGGGCAGCTTGCACAAATAAATTGATAATGTGCGCCAGCCGGCGTAAAGTACGTTGAGGTTTCGATATTACCTGTTCTGCATATTAATGTCTCTTCTAACCTGTCCTTCATCCAGGACAAAGTTCTAAATCTCAGGGAGCCTTGAGCCTCAGAGCCGGTTCATCATCTCAGTGTAATTTAGGAGGACGAGCAGGGAAAGGGCAGAGAACTCCAAAAAAACTTTGACAAGAGCAGTGCTATGAAAAAGACGCAGAGGTGAGCGAATTGGAACCTATAAATGTGAGGAAGAAGACAGAAAATCAGACATGTGACTCTAATCAAATGCAGATTAGTAAATCAACAACAACAACTAAATAAGCAAGCATACAAAAGGTGATGTTCTCAGATCCACTGAGATGACTGTATATGCAAGTATGAGAAAGCCTCTCTTGAATCTAAAAATAAAATAAAACATGAACAGCTACACTGCTAAAAAAGGATCTGATTTTTCTGACAATAAAATAACTATTTGGATTAACACCAAGGGACACATATATGGAAGTTTTCCCTTTAATTATTGTTTACTCTAGAGCTGCTTATCGTGTGAGCGGTGAGGTTTTTTTTTGCATCAGAGGGTGCAGTTGGTTGTTAGTGCAGTATTGAAAACAGATTAGCACTTTACCACTTGACACAATTGGGCATTTCTTTGAAACTTAAATCCCGATCACAACTCTCAGCTGACTCTCAAATTTTCCACCCCATTGTAGAAGATAACACAGCACTGAAACAACATTGTCCCAATTCAGAAGACAAGATGAACTCTATCAGGGGAAAGGCAAAAATGGCAGTGACCAAAGCCACACACCCATGTCAAACAGAGTTTTAATATAATATAATATAATATAATATAATATAATATAATATAATATAATATAATATAATATAATATAATATAATATAATATAATATAATATAATATAATATAATATAATACTTGGTAAATTTTGGGGTCCATTCTTTTAATCATGAAAAAAGTATCACAGTTTCCACAAACATAT